GTCTTATGTGCTTATATGGAGTATTATGTTATCCTGTTGTATGTGACATGCTATGCATTATGTCTTTGTGACTTATGTTATGTGGAGTTTATAGACCGGACCATAGGGTCCAACGATTCATGAGGCCGGAAGGCTCAAGCAGACCGGACCGGAGGGTCCAACGAGCTTAGGACCAGAGGGTCCACAGAGTTATGGGACTGGAGGGTCCCATTGAGACACATTGACCAGAGGGTCAACAGAGTTATAGTCTCGAGTGGCTAATATGTGTTGTATGTGGTATTTTGGGGAGCTCACTAAGCTTCGTGCTTACCATGTTATGTGTTATGTGTTTTAGGTTTTTCTCAGGATCATGGGACGGCACCGGCTCAATTGTACACACAAGAGGAAGAGTTATGTTTAGAGGATCCTGGATTATTATTTAATTGATTATGGATTAATGTTTTTCAATTTAAACAAAATGAGATTTTATGAAAAGTGTCTTAAGAATTAAGCGCATTTAAATGAAAATTTTAGTTTTGGAAATTTCGGTGTTACAATAGAAAACCCTAGATCCATGGATTCTTTAACAAAACAGAAAAGGATCGATATGCTACCTCAAGGATGATGTCTTTTGCTTGAAATCCACAGATATGAAACCCCCTTGGTCTCCTCTAAGCCGGAACCACCTTCTTCTTGCAAAAACCAACCCACAAAGGTCAAATAATGGCTTCTTCCCTCACACAACGCCCAAGCACTTCTAGGGTTTCTCTCAAGGGTCTGGTAGCCGCAAATGGTGGCTATAAAGGTCCTTAAATAGGGCTCAGGCCCTGAGATTTAGGGTTTCATTTAACAGCACGGACTCGCCAAGTCCACGCATGGACTCGCCGAGTCCTTCATTAAATCAGACCAAAAGACGCGTGATCCCACTCGACGAGTCTGAGCGCCTACTCGCCGAGTCCCTCTCTAAAATGCAATATAATTACTTAAAATAGGATACCTGGGAATCCGGATATTACAAAGTCCATAAGACTTAACGCCATGACTTAACACTAAAAAAAGCAAGTAAAATTACTTAACCGATATCCCACCTGGAAATATCGGTAAATATCGGTTAAATATTGGCAAATATCACCGATTTTTGCGGTCCGATATTTTGGACCGATATTTGACACCGCTATTTTGAAAAGTACCGATAACCAATATCCCACCTGGAAATCACCGATATTAACTGCTTAGGTCCCTATATGAAGAAAATAGAATGAAATAGATTACTTTTCTCTCACTCCCCTTCTTTCAATTCCAAAGATGCTCTCAAATGGCAGGGGAAGACTGTACTAACTAATTTCAAGAACTTAAGAGTGTGTTTGGTTCGTCGGAATTGAATGGAATTCGGGAGAAAAGGAATCCAATTCCTTTGGATTCCGGCATTTGGTTCAACATCAAGGAAAGGAAAAGGATTCCTAAATGAGCAAATATTCCATCAAATGGAGGAAAATACTTTCCTTCAAAGAAAGGAGGGAATTAATTCCATACCATATAGGAAAGTGAAAAAGTACAATTATACCCTTTTAGTTTCACAAAACCATTTTAACCCTATCTCATGTATTCTCCATCTCTACGTCAAAATCAGATTGCAGCCGACTTCAACTAAGCACTCGTCTTCTGCCAGGTAAATCTCTTTCTTAATCTCGATCTTGTTGTCTCTCACTCTCGTTCTTTTTTCTTTATCCCTCTCTTAATTTCTTGAGAAATCTCGATTTGGATCATGTAAAACAGAAAACATGATGGTTTATACCTGATGGAACTGATTTATTTTGTATTCACAGCAACATCTGTCAAAATTGATTATGATGTTTTAGATTTATTTGCTGGAAAGAGACGCACCATAACACACACAACTTGTTTTTTCTTTTGAACTATTTTTTGACATATATGTTTTTTGTTTGAATCTATTTTTAAATATTCTGGTAAGTAAATATGTTGATCCTCACCATCATTTATGATTTGCAGTTATAGCTTAAGTACTGCCTAATCCTATGTATCATCAATATTTCAACATTGTGGAAGAAAACATTGGTGTTCTGGGTTGTTGAACATTCAAATGTTGCAAGGATGGGAGTTCAGTGGTTTATTTGTATTAAATTGAAGACAATTACTTCATAATATTTTCATGGAGATTAGATATAATGATAGAAAGATAGATGGTAAAATGGCAAATTGTGTTACTTTAATGTTATTGAAGACATAATACTGATGATGGTTTGTTTAATGCTTTTTGGATCGCAATTTCATGGATTAATTCATTGAAGCTGCTTGATTGTTTTATGCAAATAACAATAAAATTTGTGAAGTCTCGAAACTAGACTTACATGTGTAAAAGAACATGGATTTTTAGATATCTAAATATGTATATATGAAATGTTAATTGGCAAGTAATGACAAAAAAAAAGTATAAACACAAAAAAACATAATTTTTGACGGTGTAATAAAAAAGGACAATTCTGTCATTTTAACTAAATTCCAATTCCATTTCCTCTGAACCAAACAGAATCTGGAATTAATTCTAATTTTATTTCCTGCCAACCAAACAACATATGAAATTGGATTCAAATTCCTGATAGATTCCTTTTCTAATTTCAATTCAAATTCCTTCAGCAACATTCTGCGAACCAAACAACACATAAAACTTTTTAGTGTTTCAGAATTGTGGTAGTTTTAGTCGTGTGATTTAAAACATGGTTGATAACGACTAAATACGAAAGAAATTTAAACCACAGGGGTCATTCGTGTAATTTAGAAAACTAGTTAATAGAGAAATGGTTAAAAACTAACGACAATGACCTAATTGACATGTACAACAAAAGTTAGATGACCTAATAGGCTAAAAAAAATAATAAAAACATATAGTCGGACAAATCACAAAATTTCATTGTGCTACAGTGACATTATCTCATATTGTTAAATATATTTTTATTTCAGTTGCGTTTCTCTATATCACAGGCCTAAATTTGAATCCCGTTATATGTATTTTTATATTAATATACAAAGGTTTTTAATGGTTTATGTAGTAAATATAAGTTGCTATATTATTTCTTCCGTTCAACATATAGACTTGGCCATGTGGTTTCAAAATATCAAGTCATTATTTTTCTTTCAGATATCTAATTTAAAAAAAAATGTATAATACTAATAAGGGAGGAGGGAGTCATTCCCTCCCAACCCACTAAACTCATTGTCACATCATTTTTTCTCTTTTATTTTTCTTCATCTTTCTGAACCCACAGCACACGGAAACTCTATCTTTTTGAACTCACTCAACCCACTCAATTAAAAAAAAATACAAAACAATCAAATGTAAAATCTTAATTAGCAATAGAGTTATTGGCGGTACCACTCTCGCTTCAACGAGTGGGTTGATTGGTTTCACTAACCTACTTCATCATCTCTCTCTACTTTCTCCTTCTTATTTTCTTTTGTACCATGTGTTTTAAAACTTGTACCTTAGTTGTTTTGTATTTTTTTTAATTGAATGGGTTCAAAAAGATAGGATTTTCATGTGTTGTGAGTTGCGAAAGATGAAGAAAAAGAATAGACAAAAATTAATGTGACAGTGGGTTCGATGGGTTGGGAGGGAACGACTCCCTCCTCCCTAAGGTTCTTAAATAATTATAATTAAGTTACAGAAAGGTTGTAATTGAATCTGTATTGGCTTTAAACAATTTTTTTATGTTTAAATCTATGTGAACTTTTTGTAAATATATCAGTCACATTTCTAAATTTATTAATAAAAAAATGTATAAATTTTTTATGAAAAAATGCAAATGTATCGGAAACGACACATATACAAATTAACATTTTGTTAACTTCAACTCAAACAAGACCATGTGTTAGTTTTTATATGCGACATAAACATATTTTCATCATCGTACTCTTAAAAGAACACTATAATACATTATTTATATTATCTTCTAATATATGTATGAAAGGACATTGTTTGGATATTCCAATTTGGTTCTCTGTTTTTTGGGTTTTTTATAAATCAAGACCAAACCGAAACTAAAATAAAAAACCAGCAGTTTTAAAGGTAAAAAACTAAAAATCAAACCGACATACATTAAATTTAGTTATTTGACTCTAAATTTCTAAATGTTCACCTTTATGATCACTTCCATGTATGAAAACATACCTAATTATGATGATGTGTCACACTTGCTCCAATCTCTGGTTGCAAACTTTTCACATTAAATTCAACTTTCAACACCGTACTAAAATGTGCACCAAGTCTCCAGCTAAACTGTTTTATCAAGTCGTTTGCTAAATTTTGTTGAGACCGAATAAACTTTGTGGATATCAATCTATTCATGATCTACTCACAAAATGTACAAGTGGTATGATTTTGTTGTCATGGTTGTGGACAAATGAAAAGAACGTAGTCGTCAAAGAGACAAAAGCTCTCTTAGAATGGAAGATCAAGAAGTTGTGTTACAAGAAAATTGAATTGCTTTTGGTGAAATGATGGCATAGTTTTGGGTTATCATGTCATCTGAATAACATACTCAGATTTCATCAATTCAACTCAACTAGGTAAGTCAATTGAAACCCTTGTAGCTTTCGGTTTATGTTGCATTTAAGGTCATAATGTGACTCTCAACCTCACATCAACCTTGGGGTCACTTGTCGATATGGAGCAACATTTATAAGTTTGGAATAACCAGATTGGTCGAAATATTGATAGAAAGCTAAATTTTGAATGTCAAGTTCTTGAAACCATTTTAAAGAGTTTTAAGAATCAGATGAGCAATATGAGAATTTGTGAATTGCAACAACAATCCATGCTACATAATAACTGAAAACTTATTGATATAAAACATCAGGAGACGACAATATCAAACTACTCAAGACTACATCAAAATTCAAAACCGAAACACATACATAAACCGAACCAATCAAAGATCAAACACTACTACTCTCAATAAACAAAAAACGTAAGTCTCGAAACAAACCTTGATTTAGAAATGGAATCAACACCTAAATTGAAACACATTAGAGCATCATATATAATACAGACTTGCAAAACATACTCTTATTCCTCTCTTCAATTTCAGATTATGTTACTTACTGGCTTTTGCCATTTTGCTGTGAAGCAGCAAAATTACGGATGACTTCCATTGCCAATTGATGAGCACTCTTGTTCTCAACCCTTGCAAGTGCATCCACAGCTTCAAATGTTTCCTTATCGGTGAAAAGCTTTAAGTAGTATCGCGATGATGATTTTGGTACACCTTCCCATTTGTCCACTATTTCTTGAAGTTTCTCAAATCCCTTAAAAGATTTTATCAAAGAAAATGTTAATTAAAATCACCCACAATGCAGAATGTTTATACATATATATTTAGGGTATTTTGGTCTTTTAATATGGATATGAAGGAATCTTACGACGCGATTTGTGAAGTCGCCAAATGATTCTTTAGATTTCCTCTTTGATTTCCAGCTGTGGAACAAGGGTTCAAAGACTTTCTCAAGGTCTTGGATCTTAACCTTGTTCATGAATGTTTTGGCTAATGCAGTTTGACCTGGTGTTCCCCCAAGCCATAGCTACAAAAAAAAAAAAAAAAAAAAAAAAAAAAAAAAAAAAAAACTGATGTCATTTTCTTTTAAATATCTAATAGTTTATCACAAAAGAAATAATCAAAACTCCAAGCCACTAGTATAAAAATCAAAACACTAAGGTTGTGTTTAGCACGCCATAGCTAGCTGATAAGCTGACTTATTTTTCGAGCTTTTTTAAATTGTCATGTTTGGCAAGCCAAAAAGTAGCTTATAATCTAGCTTTTTAAAATTTTCCAAATACACCCCATAATTAATTATAGAAACACATCCTTTTAAATATCCTTTTATGTTATTTTATATCTTTCAACTAGCTTTTCAGCTAGTTTTACCAAACACTATTTTTTACCAGTTAGTTTTTTAGCTAACTGCTAGCTTTTTATTTAACAGCTCACTTTTCAGCTGGTACGCCAAACATAACCTAATACTACACACAGGGCAAGACTAATCAAACATTTTAGGGTTATTTTCCATGATGAGGACACAAAGGGCATTCACGTCTTTTGCACACATGATCAAAAGTGAACCCCTGTCCAAACCTGACAAAAAATTGCTACTTTTTTTTTACCATTGACATCAATCTTTGTCTTGGGTAGGACAAAAACTTGCAACTTTTGTCTTATTGACATCAGTCGCACCTCTCAGTTACTTTAAATGTATGTCAGATGTAGTACATACAACCTGTTCTGTTCTGTTTTGTCCTGTGTAACAAAAAGAAGTAAAAAGTACCTGATAGCTATTAGGACCATCACCAACTAATCCAAGTTCAGCCATGTAGGGTCGAGCACAGCCATTAGGGCAACCAGTAACTCTCACTACTATTGATTCATTATACGGAAGACCAACCTGACATCACAATTTCATACTTAATAAAAATCACATGCAGATTTAAACAAAGTTTGTATCATCTTTTTGTTCCGTTGTTATAAAATTTTGTATTTGTTGATGACATGGCATGTCAACAAAAAGTACGATTTTGAGAGTTGTACGAGAAGTTTGAGATATTTAGGTGGAAATAATTAAATAAATAATAATGAAAGTTGATTTCTATTTAGTGAAATAATGAAACTAGTTCAATAAATACCTTCTCAAATACAGCTCGAACTCGTTTAAGAAGATCAGGAATTCCTCGTTCAGCTTCAGTGATTGCAAGAGGACAAAGAGGAAGAGCAGGGCATGCCATTGCAGTTATGTTAAGGGGATCCACATAAGTAGGAGGCTTCACAAAACAATTAAGTCTTCTTATTTACATTTCTTTGTATTTTGACTATTTTCCATCTTTTATTCTTATTAAAGCATTGTAAAGGCTAGATGAACATAGATGACTTACCAAAAGACCACCTTGTGCTAAAGCTACAGTGATAGGGCGTTTCCAAGAAGGGCGAATATCACAAAGGACAATGTTTTGGTTTGGTGTGATCCTTACATTCAAGTTATACTTCTCAATTATTTCCCTTAATGTCTTCTTCATTATCCCCTTAACCCTTCCACTATCAACATGGAGCCCACAAAATAAACGCCCATCACCCTGCCACAACAAATTAAATGCAAGTAAAATAAAGTAATGTCTTTTTAAGAAAAAGATTCAAAGTATCAAAGCGGAATGATATAATTGGGTAGATTTTGATGAAACTAACCTGTTCATTCCATCCAAGGTGGCTTTTGAATTCCCATTCGGGTAACTCCTTTGGTGGTTCAAACTTCTTTCCATAGTACTCTTCAACAACTGATCTAAACTTATCGATTCCCCATGAATCTATCAGGTATTTCATTCTACTGTATCTTCGGTCATCTCTTCTTCCATTTTCTCTTTGTGTAACAACAATGGCTTTCACTGCATACAAGATATCCTCTTTAGGGACATAACCCAATGGCTCTGCTAAGCGAGGGAAAGTGGATTCCATCCTATGTGTTCTTCCCATCCCACCACCAACCTGAAAAAGAAAGAAAAAATATGAGCTTGATTTTCATATTTCTAAAACAGAAAACAAACAATAATAATGCATGTTTTAAAATGTCATACGTATAGATTGAAACCCTGGGGTTCTCCATTATCATCAGTAACAACCACAACACCAATGTCATTTGTCAAAAGATCAACCGAGTTATCTGTAGGCACAGTGACTGCAACTTTGAATTTTCTTGGCAAGAACTGAGTTCCATAAATAGGTTCAGCAGAATCAGGAAAATTTGTCCCATGAGAGTTGTCATTGCGAGCTTTCACAACTTCAGGAGGTTCTGCAGTCATAAACTGTTCCCCATCTACCCACATGTCATAATAAAATCCAGATTGTGGGGTTAAAAGAGCAGCAATGTTGTCTGCTGTTTGTTGGGCAAAAAGGTAATCTTTCCTCACAAAAGGGGCAGCAGGAGCAAGAACATTTCTATTGAGATCACCACATGCACCAAGTGTTGATCCCATGTTTTTGATGATTGTGCTCATTACTGTTTTGAGGTCCTTCTTTATGACTCCATGGAGTTGAAATGTTTGTCGGGTTGTTAACCGAAGAGTTCCAATTCCAAATTGATCAGCAAGATCATCCATTGCAAGGTAGAGTTGATTGGAAACTTTTCCACATGGGTTCTTTGTACGAAGCATGAATGAATATGATTTCGCACCTCTTTCATCTCTGTTATATTGTTGGTAGCTTCCATGGAACTTGATTAGTTGAGTAGCAGCCTCGTTTATGTTAGGTGCATCAGTTAACAACTCTTCATTGAGAGGGTATCGAATGAAGTTGCTTTGTTCCTTGAATATTTCAACCTTGCTTCTCTTAGTCTCAACTGCAGTTTCCTGCTTCACTGGCTGCAAACACGTAATAGAAAATTAGAGACAAATATCTTCATTAGTTATAATGATGCAACTTGGAGATTTTAAACCATATCAAAAAAAGGTGGTCTGTTTCAAATACTTAATTTGAGAAGTGAGCTTGATTTACAGGCTTGGTTTATTGAAAAAAGAGAGATTGACTCGTAAGCACTTAAGTTGATTGATTTCTGTAATGGAGCACTGCTTCTGAACTAGACAATAGAGATGGAATGCTTACGCTTTTTAAAGTAAAACAATTTCTGTTATACGAAAAAACATGACGCAAAGTGAGATTAGCAGGAACTTTCCGAATTTATGAACATCGGAAGATCCAAATGCCATGCATCCATTCCCGTAATGAAAGGGAAACAAGATTACATACGAATGTGTTATTTGAATCCGAATCACCACTCAAAAAGAACTCATTTCCCCTGTTTTTTCTAACAATAACACAACTTAATCATACTGCTAAAGCTCATGCTAGAGCCATGGAAGCTAAAATCATTTTCACACTTCAATTAACGTTAGATCTTACACGACTACTATTTACATTTCAGATGCTAAATCTAAAATCGTAAAGAAGAAAAAGCAAGAACGAATCAATGTTGCAGAACAAATAGAGAATCCAGTAACAGTAGAATATGATAATTACCGTTGAAACAGCTCTGATGACGGCAGGAGAAGTGGAGGAAGATATGGATGTGAATGGATGTATGCGTGTGTCCAACAGAAGCGAATAAGTAGACGAGTAGCTCGTGTTTTTCCTGAATCCATTAAAAGTTTTCAATTGAAGGTTAGCATCCTTCACCAGCGATGTGTTTGCAGCTCCGATCGATGACGCCGCGGCTGTCGACATCGGAACAGATAGAGAAATCCGATTGAATGAGAATAAAAGCTAGGGTTTATAGAAAGCGAGAATTTAATGGGCAAGCTGATATTGAATCGGGTGGTTAGTGAAAGGCGACTGTGGTTCTTTCAAACCTCTCTGTATTGTGCCATGTCACGTGCCACTCACGAGCACACTTCGTATGAATAGTTTCACGCGCTTCATTTTGTTGTCCGTTTCTTACTCGCCTATATTTTTAAGGGTACGTTTGGTTGAAATTACTAATATCTTTTATTGTATTTTTTATTAAGGCAATTTGTTGTCATGGTATATTTTTTGATTGGCACCATATAATTGCTGTTTTTGTTTTAAAAATGTTTTATTTTTGTTGGCATCGTATATATTTTTATTGGCACCATATAATTGTTGTTTTCGTTTTTAATGTTTATTTTTATATCTTATTAATTTATCTAAATAATACATTTATTTTTAATTAAGCTTGATTATTTTATTATATTTTTAAGCTTTGTATTTTATATGTTTTTATGTATATAGTGTTTGTAATATAAAGAATCTCGTCAATATAATTTTAAAATAAAACTAATAATAAATATTTAACAATTATTGAATATAAAAAGTTAGGTTATAACCCCATAGAAATTACAAGTAAAAGATTTATAAACTATTATTAAACTAATAAAATATAAGGATTTTTTAGACTTTTATATTTATTATTTAAAGTTACTATATATATTTATTTGAATATCCGATATATATTATATATGTAATGACATTTAATATAATTATGATTTATAGAACATAATAAAAATTTTAATAGAGTGTAAAAAACAAAATCAGTCATTAAAATAACATTAATATACGAAAAACTAAATATAACAGAAATATAATAAAAATAAATACCATCTAGGACATCTGAAACAAATTTAAAGCCTTAGAGATAATAATATATTTGCAAACATTTATTTATTTGAGAACTTAGATGTGTTAACTGTAATTATACAAATATTAATTTTCATTTTCATTGATACTACTTTAGATATGTTAATTTCTTTTATTTTCACTTATACTTTTTCTTTTTACTTTTCTCTTACTAAATAATTATACTTTATCTTAATTTTTATTATTTATTTTTCAAAATTATAAGTTAAAATGGTAATCCATGTTGTAAAAAAAAATTTAAAAAAAAATATATTTATTTTAAGAAGCAACCCATAAATTAACCATTTTAATATAATTACTCTCTAAAATGTTTAAATAACAAAGTTTTATTTTTTTGTTATTTTTTATTTAGTTTTGATATTCAAATAAATTAAATGTTTTAACTTTAGAATATAGATTTTAGCTAACAGGTTTTGCAAAATAAATGCATTATGTGTATTTTTTTTTTTTAGTTATCTATAATATTACTCTAGGCCAAAAACGTTAACGTATGCAACTTAAAAATAGACTGTTTTTGGTATATGCTATTAAATCTCTAATAACATAACAAATATTATATTTTATGTATAATTATATTTAATACATATCACATTTTGAGAAAAATTACATTGAAATGTAGATATTACACTTGATTAGTATAATTAAAACTTTCGTATATATACAAAATAAGAAAATGTATAATTAAAGTTCTTATATAGTTTTTTTAAAAAAATTCTAATAACTCGGTTAGTATTTATGAACATAATTTTTGGCAAAACAATAAAACAAAAGGATAATGTGTCTACTTTTTTCACTCTATCTATGCATTAACTAAATGAACATAAATATGACATGATTTTTCCGTTTATAAGATACATTTTATTATGTATGTTTTATGTTTTATAAAATCAATAATATATAATGATAGAAATAAAGTAGCATCTAAACATACAAAATTAAAATTCTAAATTTTTATTTAATTTTGATAGGACAATGATTTCCCATTTTCTCTTATATAATAGGGAAGTATGTATATGTTAAGATGTGATGTTTGATTGGATTGAAAAATTTATATTTCTATATGGTTTTGTTTTTAATAGATCAAAGTAGTCTTCACCATAGCAACACTCTTTTTATTGGCATGGAAGAATGAAAAATACTATTACATGATTCTTATGTATTATTTATAAAAAGATTTTTAGCAGTTTATTATTTAACTATAGTTGTGAATATTATTATTTACAAAACTGAAAGTTCATCACAATAAAAACTTAAACATCATCATGTAAAATTAATTTCTAAATAAAAGTTTAATTTTAGAAAATAAAGTTTGTTATAAAAAATTTAATAGATAGAAACATGTTATAATATAATTTTTTTATATATATTTTCTATGATTTTCCATGACGATATAAAAATATCTCAAGCCTAAGCAACGAAGTTTAACGAAACATAAGGACATGGATCCTTTTAACAATTATTTGAATATAATAAACCTTTTATTTTTTTATTTGGTTACATTATACCAAACATTATGAAAACGAATAGCATCCCTAGTTTTTTTCGAATACTGAAATTATAAAAAGATTTAATATTTATTTATGAAATATGTTTTATTTATTTTAGTTTATACAATAAAAATACAGTCTTGACGAATATGTAATTATGTGTCATTTTAAGAGTATAAGGTATGAGTCATGTTGCATCTTGTTGTTGCTGAGGTGGAGCATCCTTAACGCCGTTAAAAAGCATCAACGCCCCCCCCCCCCCTTTCTTGTTGTATCTAGTTGTGTCGCTTCTTGTTGTGGTCATGACTAGATGCAACATGATTTTCTATTAGTTGCTCAAATCCTTTTTCTATATCTCTTTCCTCTTAACATGGTGTTATAGCATCATGAACACCACTCATCTTCTTGTTGCTTCTTGTCATAACATCACTTCAAGTTGTCCATACCATATGCTCTAAACAAAAAGAAAATATAAAAAGGGGTATATGTTATTCCTAAACCTCTCCCAACATTGAAGAAATAAAGCAAAATATATCAAGAACAAAGAAGATGATGTAAATGTTTAATTCCGAAACTAATTTACATATTTTTACAAAAGACACTTAGAAAAAAATATAACATTTTATCTATCATAGTAACTGCACTTGTATTTAAGAAAAAACATAACAAATATTTATGATATCAATCGTTTTTTTTTTTTGTCATTATTGGCTTTTTATATGTTTATCTTTTCAATTTATTTTGTATATAACACCAAACTAGCAAACTATAAGAAATCTATTTTCCTATTAAAAATAAAAACATGTTTTTTATTAAAAAAAAAAAAAAAGGAGAGAATCTTGGGAGGAAATTGGAAAATGTGTCCTATGGCCTTGTTGGAGGGGCACTGGTAGATGAGTGAGGGCACGTAGCTGTTAGGCGCGTGTTGTAAGTAGTAGACGACGCGAAAGCAAAATTTGTTTGAGAAAGATGATTTGGTGAGTGGAGTGGAGTGGAGTGGGGTTCATTGAACTTGGACGTTTTTGGACACCATAATCTTGACCCAGGTCAAATTGGGCTGCGCCTCACATTTTCATTCTTAGATTCTTTACGTCATTAGTTTTCAAAATCAATTTTTGGAGATTAACTCGAACCAAATATTTTTACCGAATAAACGAACAACTTGCTCAGCTCTAGTTAAATCGGATTTGTCTTGGAAAAAAAATAATTACATACGCATCTGTTTAATGATGTTTCAATTTTCATAATTTATATAAAATAGTGGTTTCTAATTTTATAGAAAACTATATAAAAACGTTTTATTTTTGAAATTAAATATTATAAAATAATTTATAGAAAATTACAAATTTAGTCAAATATGTTAATTACGTTGTGGAAAATAAAAAAATAAAAAAAAATTCAAATTATATTTTTAGCCATTAAAATCGCTACTGGATTGAGCCTATCTGTGAACGTACAAGTCGCTAAAGCATAGACGTACTTTAGTGACTTGTATGTTCGCAGATGATTTTTTTTATTGTATAAATACCCCATTTGTATGCTTTAAAATCACAGATGGACTAAATCCATTTGTGATTTCCTCTTCATTTCAACTGTGATTTTGAGTTTTTATTATTTTTATTTTTTTTATTATGACTACGAAATTAATAAGTGTTGGGTATAGAAGATTGTGTCATTCAGCTTTTTTGCATTAGTCCAGTATGTATACGGTTTTGGGTAGGGCTGTAAACGAACCAAACGAACACGAACAAGGTCTTGTTCGTGTTCGTTCGTTTAAGTTAGCCGAACAACAAACGAACACGAACGGATAAACGAACGAGATTTTCTTGTTCATGTTCGTTCGTTTAACAAATTACTTTGTTCATGTTCGTTCATTTATGTTTGTGAACATGCTAAACGAACATAAACGAACAAACATAAACAAATAAAGATAATAAAACACAATTGAACATATATGAACATAAACGAATATATATTATAGCAATATATTAAAAAATAATTGAATATAGATGAATATAAATAAACTTAAACGAACGAACATAAACGAACGTAAATGAACATCATAAACGAACGTTCACGAACATAAATGAACGAACGAGACCATTGTTCATATTCGTTCATTTAACTAAACGAACGATAATTTTTGTTCATGTTCGTTCATTTATTAAATAAACGAACATAAACGAACTTCCCGCCGAACAGTTCACGAACGGTTCGCCGAACGTTCAGTTCGTTTACAGCCCTAGTTTTGGGCATGTCCAGCCATTTATTATTAGGGTTATAGTATATATATGGTGCATGCATGCACCGTATTAGGTTAACTATTGATTTTATCATTCTAATCATTATTGTAACCCTACCACACCTCTACAGTAGCAATTCTTCATAGAGTTCTTCTGAGGTTGTGGCTTATTAATCATTCGACATTAGTTTGATTCATTTTGTGTTCTTATTTAATTTACGTTCTTGGTTTGCTTGTTAAGAATCTTATCGATCTTAAAGTATTTTTAGTCTTATCAATTGGTATCAGAGCAGGAGACTGTGTAATTCATACGCATCTCTTCTGTTTGAAGAAATTTTTTAGGGTTTCTGCTATTATCGAATGTATTGGACCCGTCATCACTTTATTGACATTACTCCTTGATTTTGATTTTACCCTAACTAAATTTTTACAAGTCTTATTCTTGACAGGTTAGCAGATCAAGTCGTCATGTCTCACGACGCATTTCAAACAAATCCCATCAACATCTCTAACAACATTGGCTCGACCACAACGATTCTGATCCTATATACTCATGAATATGAAT